TACTTTTGACAAGGATGAAGGCAAGTTTATTTGTATAGCACATTTCAGACACAATGCAACACAAAGTGCTTTACATTAAAAACAAGATAAAATGAAAATAAAAAGACAAAATGTAAAAGCAACACAAGGCAATGTAAACAAATTTTAAAGCTCAAATTAAAAAGACCATAAGACAATATGTAAAAGCAACACAAACAGACACAATAAATAAAACAGTAGAATAAAAGTTACAGTGCAGTGTAAGATATTGATCACCTGAGAGGTCTGGATGGTTCATAACGTAGCAGCAGATCAGAAATGTATTTTGGTCCTAAACCATTCAGTGCTTTATAAACCAACAGCAGTACTTTGAAATCAATTCTTTGACAGACAGGAAGCCAGCGTAAAGACCTCAGAACTGGAGTGATATGATCCACTTTTCTGGTCTTAGTGAGGACTCTATTATCTACTTTTCTGGTCTTAGAGAGGACTCTATGATCTACTTTTCTGGTCTTAGAGAGGACTCTATGATCCACTTTTCTGGTCTTAGTGAGGACTGGAGCAGCAGCGTTCTGAGTCAGCTGCAGCTGTTTAATGTATTTTTTAGGGAGACCTGTAAAGACACCGTTACAGTAGTCCAGTCTACTGAAGATAAATGCATGGACAAATTTTTCCAAATCCTGCTGAGACATAAGTCCTTTCATCCTTGATATATTTTTCAGGTTATAGTAGGCTGACTTTGTAATTGTCTTAATGTGGCTGTTGAAGTTCAGGTCTGAGTCCATGATTACACCCAAATTCCTGGCTTGGTTTGTGTTTTTTAACATTACTGATTGTAGCACAGCACTGACTTTTAATCCTTTCTTTGGCTCCAAAAACAATTACTTCAGTTTTATCTTTGTTTAATTGTAGAAAACTCTGACACATCCAATCACTGATTTGTTCAATGCACTTACTCAGCACTTGTATGGGATGAAAATGTGGAAATGGAAACATTTGCCTTTGTAGAGTGTGAGGATGTGGGAGTGGTATCTTCATTGTTTCTCTCAGGTATTTGTAGGCTTCGGGTCCATGCAAATGCAGCGTGAGAGAAAATTCCCTTTGAGCCTGGGTGAAGACACAGTCCTTCTTGAAGAGTTCAACTGGAAGATCTGAAATGGGAAAACAAGCTATACATTAATGATGAAACCAGCACAAAACATCATACATTAAAATTGTGGGATAACCAAGAATGTGTGTATTCTTTACAAATCACAGTATTTAAATTTTTTTAACAAATAGAATGTTGGATACTTTAATTACAAAGTATTAAATACTTGGAAGCTCAATTAGGTTGTTTTCTAAATAGTGTTTTTTTTAGTCCAATAATCTAATTTGATCAACTGTAGTATTTCAGTAAATATTTGAGAACATTGGTGAGACTGCAATCAAAAGGTGTGTATTGAGACATGAATTTAAACTAATACAAAATTATTAATGTTACACATGCATCTGTTAAATGAAGGAGCTGGGCAATTCAACCAACCTGAGTACGAATCCAGCTTGTGCTGAAGTTCCTCTGTAAGCAGGTTTTTCTCTTTTAAATCCTGGAGCAGGGATTTCACTGTTTTAGTGTGCCTTCTTTCTCGATCCCTGGAATTTCGCAATTTTCTCTGCAATTCATCCACCCTCTCCTGTGCCTCAGTTAACTTCTGTTTAACATCAATCAGGTCAAGGGCATACTGATGATCCTGAAAAATATGAATGTAATTATATAATCATATATTTAAATAATTAATTTAAATGTATTGTCCTCATTTCATAAATGTCACTGTAACAGAAGCCCAGCTTCCCGCAAAGGTGTTTAACTACAAATTGTTTCACTCACTGACGTTGACTCCTCCTGGTCGTCTGGTGGCTGAACCTGAACATCAGGACTTTGTAGAGCAGCTTGGGATGTCCTGGTTGACCTGGATGTACTGGGCACCTGGAGATAAAGTTAATTATTTACCAGTAAGTCAAGAGGAACAATATCAAACAGTGTGTTTCTACTAAGTTTAGTGGGCATTACACGTGTTAGATTATGTCATTATTTATACATAAACCATTTCAATACTAACTTTGCAGAGATGCTCCGGAAAACTGAATTCAGAGGGAGTCACCCCGTCCCTTAAACGGACAGTCTGCCCAGTCCTGTCAAAGTCCTGTGGTCTGAAGTGACAGCTGCAGATGACTGAGGAGTCACTTGGGACAAAGTCCTTTCTCCTCACTGCTGTTACCCATGCCTGTCTCCTCGCTGTGTTTTTTGGGAAACTACACACTAAATAAGTGTGTCAGAAAAACGCAGTTCCACATAATTTGTAGTTACAATTCAGGCCACAAGTTAACTACTAATATTATACTGCGTTATGTCACGTTGGTGCCATGAAACAGATAGTTGACAATTTGGAATAACACATACACCAACATAGCTCTTTGACAAAGCATCATAGTTTTATAAGTAATATTATATAAATGTTAACCTTTTTTCTTTAAGTTGTGTGACATAGCGTTAGCTTAATTTGGCATTAGGACCAGATCAGGACAGTTACTTTACTTGATTAGCTTAAAAGAAGGATCACTTTTTGAGATATATATCTTATTAAACATGTTCGTAACAGTAAAATATTGTAAAACAACTCCTTACCTGTGGAATGTTATTCCCTTCTGCTTGGTTTTAATACTTCTTTCGTTAGTACACCCAATTGCAGAGCAAAAATGTGGCATTTTTGCCGAGTCTGACATGGGTCTGAACCGGTCAGAGCACCTAGGCAAGATGGCAGCGGTATTGACGCATCCCACAAGCCAGGGTGCGGCATCTATGTGTATATATCTATGGGCAGGAATAAGAGACATGAGACGGCCTTAAAGATGGCAGAGCTCGAACGACTTCCGGTTCAAGTAAGGAGTTAGGAGTTAGCAGTATAAAATAAGAGACTTGGGACGTACCCCAAGTAACATTTTGATTTGGGCTGACCTGAGACAACTGGTTACCCTCGGCTTGTCTTGAAAATACCCAAACATATTTATCAATGTTTCTTGTTCTTTTTCCACATGGCCATGGCCACATGTCTACAAACATATTCAGTGCCACATTACAGTCTGCACAACACTGCACACTATGACAAAGCCTGTCATGTTTAAAAAGTGACGATCTAACTCGGAAAATGCTCTCAAAATACGCTAAATAATATGTAAATAAAAACCAAGCACTTATAGCCACTGGATAATTACAGAGGTGAAAAGCAAGGACTGACATTTACTCACGTCACTGTAACTGAATAGTTTTTTGTGTAGGCTACTTGCACTTTTTAAAATCTAATTTGAGTGTTACATCATTAGCCTAAGTATTATGCTTCGCTGCATTTTAAATGACTTCTGTGACCGAGTTAAAAAAAAAAAAAAAAAA